GCTCGACGGTCACCCGACACGGGGCCAGTCTGGGTCGCTTCCGCAGACCCCCGAGGGCTCAGAGCTGGGGAGGCGCCCCGGGCGGAGGCACAGGGTCGGCCTGGGGGATCTCCCCAGAGGACCGGGGCTCCCCGGAGCCACCCAGCGGCGATGTGTGGGTGCCTCGAGGCCGATCCCCTGCAGCGGCGGCCGAGGTGTGGGTGTGCTGGGCAAGGGGCAACTGGGTTTGGCGTGAGTGGTGTCGCCCGGTCAGGGCAACTGCTGTGCAGCCAGATAGGGTCTGGACTTTGCGTAAAGGGACGGGTGGGAATTGAAGAACGGAGTTGGGGGCCAGGAGGGAAGGAAGGGCTGAGGGTGAACAAAGGGGCGGGGCCCTGGCTGCTGTGGCCTCCCCTTACCCCCTCCCCCCGCTGCTGGGGTCCTCGGGCAAGCCCCCTTCTCCCTGGACTGGTAAGTGTGACCGCGGAGCCCGGGGGAGAGGGTGGTGACCCGGGACGAGGGGATCCCCAGGGGCAGGCAAGGTACGGTGGTGTGGAATCCTACTACCTGCAGGTATTCCATACCCTTCCTGCCCTCCCGGTCGATTGGTCGGTCGGGATCTGTTCCCGCAGAGACATGAGACTCAGCTGGGTCCTGACAGTACTGTCCATCTGCCTGAGTGCCCTGGCCACGGCTGCGGGGGCCGAGGGCAAACGGAAACTGCAGATCGGGGTCAAGAAGCGGGTAGACCACTGTCCCATCAAATCGCGCAAGGGGGATGTCCTGCACATGCACTACACGGTGGGTGAGGAGGCGGAGCTTTTGGGTGTGGGTGGGGATTCAGGGACCAAAAGGACTTGGGAGCCAGGTTCCCCCGCTACGGTGGGTGACCTTGGGCAAGTCCCTTCTCCCCTCTGCCAGTTTCCACGGTTCTATCCTGCTCTTCACTGTCTACTTCCCAGGTTGGCACCGACAAAGTTAGTGTACTGTAAGCTGCCTAAGGCTCTGTTCCCTTCTAGGACTATGGCCACCAATTCTGTGGGGGGACAGCTTGATGAGAGTAGATGGGGATGGGGTGCTATCAGAGTGGAACCGCCTCCTCATTGGCCTTCTCATGGTCCCACAGGGGAAGCTGGAAGATGGGACGGAGTTTGACAGCAGCCTGCCCCAGAACCAGCCCTTTGTCTTCTCCCTGGGCACGGGCCAGGTCATCAAGGGCTGGGACCAGGGGCTGCTGGGGTGAGTCAGGGGCCATGGCTGTGGTCCAGGTGAACTGTAGGAGGCAAGCCCCGGGAATGGGGGGGAGGGGAGGCAGGGAGCCTGAGTGCTGTCACATGCTGACTATGTTGTCCTGCAGGATGTGTGAGGGGGAAAAGCGGAAGCTGGTGATCCCATCAGAGCTGGGTAAGAGGTCCTTCCTGAGTGGGTATAGGGTTTGGGTATGTTTGGGGAAGGGTGAAGGCTTGGTTCAGCCTCTGTATTGGTCTCCCCCAACCATTCCTTACAGTTTATGCCTCTTCCAAGTTTAGCTGTGTCCAGCAATGCCAGGGCAAGACCCTTGAGGCACAGCTCTGATGTCCACCTTGTGCCCTTTATCTGGCCTTTGCAGCCCCCTCTCACCCATTACCCCTCCATTGCTGGCTGTTACTGGGCAGAAGCCTGGTTTCAGCCTGGATGTCTGCAGACCCTCTCTATCTGACCACAGCTCACTTTGTGTTTTTTGTGTGCATCTTTGACAGGGTATGGAGAGCGGGGAGCTCCCCCAAAGATCCCAGGTAATAGACCTTCCTGCCTCCTGTCTGTGGCACCTGTCCCGTCTCCTGTGGCCCTGGTTCTCATTCTACCTCACTTCTCTGCTGCAGGTGGTGCAACCCTAGTGTTCGAGGTGGAGCTGCTCAAAATCGAGCGACGTTCAGAACTGTAGCCAAGCTGGGGAGGGCTGGTGGAGAGACCCCCATCAGGGACCAGACTGTTTAAGAAAAAAAAAAATCTTAAAGCTCATGAAATGAGCCTGTGTTTGTTTGTGGGCCCCGAGAGACTTAGAAACCACAGTCCCAGCCTCTCCTCTTCCTCGGCATCCTGTACCCGTCTCCTTTTGTGGCTTCAGAACCTTGGGATCTAGGCTCAATAGCCTGAGGGTCAAGATAGCCAGGCCTTGGGTGGCATGGTGGCCCTTGCCCAAAGTGAAAAAAGAATTGCTGCCAACAGCAACAGTGCCCCCCCCCCCCCCGCCCCCCCAGCTCCCCAGCCACTTTTAGCTCCAGGTCTGGGAGCCAACACTGGGCTATCACCATGACTACGTGGCCTTCAGGAAGGCCTACAGTCACTTGGGGAGAAGCTGAGCTGGTAACCATTACAGAGCAGTGTGTCCCCCTAAAAGAGACCAACCAAGCCTGTTAGCTGCACCAAAGGCATATCCTAGCTTTATTAAAGGGCCCGCGTCGCAGAATCAATATAAAAACACAAAAAGTCCCATCAGTTTAATAATAATAAAAAAACCCCAAAATGGAAAACAAGGGGCAGGGAAGAGGCCCCTAAGTGAGGGGCACAGGGAGCCCTGCTCATGGCACCAGGCCTGGCCGCAGGGCCCCTTGGTATTGCTGTTGCTACGAGGTCAGGGGGCAGCGATTGTCCTGTGGGAGCCACCGTTCACCTGGGTTGAGGACCCTTACTTCTTCTGGGGTGTGCTCAGCTTCTGCATGCCCCGGATCTTGTCCAGCAGGCCAGAGATGAAGGCCTGGACAAGAGGGAGGACGTTAGGAAGACGAGATCCCAAGATGACAGGAGCCCAGGCTCTTCTCCCCCACCCTCTGGGGAAACCACTTACCTCAGTGGGTTTGTAACAGTCAACCAGCAGCTCCTAGTGGGACATAGGGGAAAAGTATAGCTGAGTTCTCAGAACAGGGGCCTGGAGGTGACCCTGCCCACTTCCAAGGGGCTGGGGACACCCCGAAGGTCAGGATGCCATCGCTAGGCAAGTAGCATGGGCCCCGTCTGCTGGAGGCAGAAGCTGAGGCTCAGTGCCACAGAGCTGGCGCATCAGACAAAAGGCCTGGCCCCAGAATCTCGCTTACCCAATTGGCACTGCCTCCCTGCAGCCCTCCACTCCAGCTCCCCCAACCTGACCCTGCCACCCCTCTCTCACCTTGACCCTGGCAGCCCGGGTATCATCACTCTCCATGTCCAGGAGTTCATCCACATCAATCTCCAGCTCGGGGATCTCCTCTTCCTGGGGGGGGGACAAAGGCCTGAGTTGGGGGAGAGGGTAAGAGGGGGGCTTGCTGGCTGAGGCCCTGCCCTACTTTGGGAAGAGCCAGCCCTCTCTGCCCAGCAGACAGCACCAGCTGCTCTGAGGAAAAAAACAGATCAGGCCCTTGCCAAGGAAAACTGCCCGATGGGGGGGGGGGGGGGGCACTCCCGTACCTGCCAGTGGGGGACCCTAGGGGGCAAGACTGTAGAGGTGGGAACACTGAGAAATGGTTCTCCTAACTTCGTGTGCCACGCTTTTTGCACGAGAGGGTGGGGTCAAGTGAGCCCGTCTATTAAGGCCTTTTCCCCTCACCCAAACACCTGTTAAAGATTTCCCTGGAGACGGAGGAAACGAGAGGAGAGGGTCAATCAAAATGGACAAGGGCTGCTGAAAGGGGAACAAAGAGACATA